CTCAGTTTCTTAAGGCGGCAAATAAAGATTAATTTAAAAACTTTCCAGAAGGAAACTTGGTAAGGGGTACACTGTAAGAAGGGAAAAGTTTAAGAATAGAGTAATTATACCCCCCGCAAACGAAGTTTAGGGGGTATATTGGAATCACCATGTCCGTCTGTTCGTCTTTCTGTAGACGAGATTTTGTCCGGACCATTACTCAGAAACAGTTGGAAGGATTTGTCTGAAAATTTTCACACATATTATTCACCATGTGAAGGCGTGCACCTGATATTTTCATCTTGATTGGATGATTATTTTGAATTTTACAGATGTTTTTCATTTTTATTTTAAAGACCGTTTCTCAGAAACTATTGCAAGGTTTTTTCTGAAAATTTGTACACTTATTATTCACCATATGAAGGTGTGCACCTGGAATTTTCAACTTTATGTGTTCATTTTTCTGCATTTTACAGGTGTTTTTCATTTTTATTTGACTTGTTCATTTTCATACCTCATGTACTAGTATAAGGTTTGAGACATAGAATCTAGAATATCTGTACAAAAATGTGAATTACAGCTTAAAACTACTCATTAAAAAAAAAAAAAAGAAACATCATCAAGTGTTAGAAACAGTTTTTACATTACACAGAAGATAATGTAAATTAATTTGTCTCATGGGAATTATGACTGGACATGCATGCATCCAGTTAAAGATGAATTAATGAGTTTGGTGTGGGAAGTTGTTAAGGCATCTCTTATCAAGCATGTGTTATCTATATCTCCTGGAATTTGGCACAAGAATTAAAGATCTCTCTTCTCTAATTCTCTTAATTGTGACCTATTGTCTGTCTTCATTACTGGATGATCAGCTCTTTATTTTCAAAATGAATTTGATATAAAGTTATCAAGATTAATTTGATTTTGTATATCACCTTCTTTAAAAAACCCAGCAGGGGAAATTTGTCCCTATTGGACAGTTCTAGTTGAATGTCTTTCTCCTCGTAGACAATGTAAATGTTCTTTAAAATGGCCCATTTGTTTCTTAGATTAAGTGAAGAGCTATTTTTGTATATTGCTTTCTAAAGTAAAAGAAAGCCGTCGACTTGAAAAGTTAATTGTAGGAGAAGTTCAGTTTCCGAGAAACCATATCTAAAAACATATTTTATTTTGGAAAACGTTTAGTAGAGGTGCCAACTTTTGTTTCTTGGAAAACATACACAGTGCATAATATTTGTATATATTAACAGATCTTTTTAATTAATGCTCTTAAAAAACTGCGGGTAATTATAGTTTGCTGTTTTCATAGTATGAAGGGAACCACAAATTCATGTCCTGCACGATGTGCAAATTACATAGCACCATGATATAACACTTCTTCAATATCTCAAGGAACTTTTACTTTTATCTCAAATAATTAAAAATAAGCGATTTGACAGTAATTAAAGTCAGAAATAATAAAAAATACCTTTAAAAGATTTTTATAAAATCATTTGAATTTAAACAATTGCATACAGGTAAAACAAAATCATGTCATTCAAACGTTTTGGCATCAGCTAATAGAAAGATCAAGTAAATGTTTACACATGCAGGTTTTATAATCATTATCATAAGAACACTTGCATGCAGTCTCTCTAGATATAAATATAAACTGCCTACTCAAGGACAGATTAAACTAGTGTTAATTGTAACGGGGACCGTTACACTTGTTCCCCAAACGCTCCCCAAATCCCTTTTTGTGCCTTATTCCTGCAATACGTTTTTTTTTATTTGCTCAGTGTCGAAGCATTTAATTTAAGAATATAAAAGTTTCAATGATATCAACTATATATCATTAAACATTTCGCATGCGCACGCACGCGCATGCATTTGCAAGATGATCATGACATGTTGGCTAAGGAATTCCTGGGAATCTAAAGAGAATAATACAGATACAAATGTTACTATTTTTCAAGTATTTTAGTCATTTTACGCATTGCGCATGCGCACTTGCTGGCATGTCTATGCGTTCAACTTTGACAGAAGCATAATATAGGAATCTATTATACCTATTCATATTCTAAATGTTATCCTGATTTATTGAGAATTAAGAAAGTTATAGGCATTTAAAGTTTAAGCCAATCAGATTGCAGCGCACGTGCATGCACGTGCTTTCATGATAATTGCTATATATCATGTTGTAGAACCTTCTAATGTATGACTATATTTAAAATTTCAAAGTATTTTGTCAGAAAACAAGAAAGATATTGATACTTTAGTATCAGTCAAGCAGAGCGAAGCGCACGTGCATGCGCGTGATTTCATGATAATCTGACCATGTCTTGTTGCCTATACTACTACTGTAAAAGCACAAATATTCGTGGGGGATTAAATTTCGTTTATTTCGTTGTTAACAATATTCAACGAAATTAAATCCCACACGAAATTTTATATGACTATATATTGAATAGAATTACTTTCACAACAACGAAATTAAATGCCCACAAAACTATTTTTGAAGACAAAACAACGAAATTTTATGCCCACGAAAATTTGTGCTTCTACAGTATTTTATATTTATATTATTATTTTCAAAACATTCCATCAAAAAATAGAAAAGTTACGGCTACATCTATTATATTGGTCATTTCACGTGTTGCACGTGCGCGCAAAATGACTTTGATTCGGCAAATCTACATAACATGTCTACTTACCCTAAAAATGTTTTACCTACATCGGATGAACAGTTTACAAGATCATTCGCGGACAAATAAGTGCCCAGGAAGGAGAAAAATAAGAAGAAGAAGAAACAGACTAAAAACAATATGTTCCCCAACTTCGTTTGTGGAACATAATAAGATGACATTAGTTAAGTTTTACCATATTAGAAACAAGGCCATATCAACATTATCAGCATTTTTCTTGACATTAATAAAAAATATAACGGTTTTTAATCCTGCAATGACTATTTTTACTCCATCAGACTAAATGTTTTTTTTCGTTTAGCACAAGAAGATATCATTACATTTGGTCTATATGTTCGATTATTCTTTTTCAAGATAAGTGACTTATTTAAGGAGGTATTAGTTAACATAAAATTTTTCTATTTTCCTATAATTTCCAAGGAATATGTTAATTAATTTTATATTTCTCGTATGGTATTCTTTTCCTATTTTTATATTTGATGAATTTGACATACTGAATGATACAAATTGTTATAAAGACAAAAATATCGTCTATTTAGTAAAAAAAAAAAAAAAAACCCTTTACTGAAATCTATTCTCAGATTTGAATATCTATTACATGGAATTAGTTTAATAAATCATATTTTTGGATAAAATTCACATATTAATTCCAGTAACAAAATTCATTTATTTGTTGATTTTTTTATTTTATTTTATTCAGTCTTGGATTTTTAAGTCAGGTAAGAAATAAAGAAAAACCGCAAATAACATTCATCAATTATCTAATTCTATTGCAGTAAATACATTTCCATTGTATAATTCAGTGAAGACATAATTTGAAAATATAACTGAACGATCTACTTCGCATATGTACAGCAAAATCAGTATATAGTGATTACTTTCTGAACGATTGATTTTTAGAGTCAAAGGTTGCCGGTAATTTTTCAAGAAGACGATATTATAATAACAGGAATATATTTATTCGTGTTATAAATTTTATATTATTTGGGTTATTTTTTATGTATTAATAATATGATTATGTCCTTAAGTTGAAGATAAATCCGTTTAAATATTTGGAATTTTAATTCGAAGTTCTCCTGTAACAGTGAAATAGTGAAATAGACTTATTTCATATATATATATATATATATATATATATATATATATATATATATATATATATATATATATATATATATATATATATATATATAAGGCTTGCTTTTCCTCATCTCGTTAAATTAAAGAATCAAGCCACAACATATACTCATATACTAGATGGAGTAAATTGGTTTAAAAGTAAAAATTCAATCTGTTTCGATGAAAAAGACATGAAAACAGTTCCTCTGACGTAACTGTAAGAAGTAACTCTTAAGGACGTTCTTGCTGGGTTTCTTCGTCTTTCAAAAGGAGGTCCCATTGCTTTTCCAACACCTGTAAAGAGCGTATATGATTTTGTAAAACTTCTATGTAATTGAATAAACAGCAATCCTTTCTTATGCGAAATTCACTCGGAGACATTTTGTTTTGTCGCAACACATAGTATGAAGGATAACTGAATGAAAGCGGAGTTAGAAGCATAAAAATAGTGAAATGGAAAAGAAAAATAAAGGTGAGAAACGAAATACAAAGGTATTGGATAAGACAGGTTGACTGTCTAAAAGAAATAGGACAACTTTCACACTCTTCATCACTTCCATGCGTAAGGAACTTTTCCTTACACATATTTTCATGAAACACTTTAAAATTGTTATATATCACATCGTAAATCAAAATAAATGGGTTAAGAACATTTAAAAAAAAATATTTAGAAATTATTACTCTTTCTGTGATCAGAGCCTTAATGTGCTTTAACCCTCATATTTTATTGGGTTCAAAGCAGTATAAGTACATTAATTTCAACCTGATATCTTTTAATATAATTGATACTTACAAAAATGTTAAATCACCCCCTTTTGAAGATGTCAGACATAATTGAACACATTTAAGCATATCTCAGAATATCATGTTGATCAATTTTGGTAAAAATATAAATAAGAAGAATCGCAAAAAAACTAGTTTAAATTACATAATTTTATTTTTTTATGTTACAAAATGTAGCTCATTAGAATATCCGGTATGAACATTTTACAATTTATATACAGTATTGTAGAATGTTTCCCTATCTTCTTACGAAGTACTAGTATACATATGTATATATAATATTGAAATGCATGAATAAAGGATACTTAGAATAAAAAAAATGATCGATAAATTTAGGTTTTTATTTCTTTTACTAAACAACGTTTACTATGAACTTGTTACATGTAAAAGAATTGTTTTTTTTTCTTAAAAAGATATTTAAATATGGTGCACTTGCCTCGATTTGTTTTTTCATTTCTTCACAGTAATTATCCATCCGAAAATAATTTTTTTCTAATGTCTCCATCCTAGCATTTTCACTTTTTAGTTTCTTTATATAATCGATCCATGTTGTTAGTATAGATAGGGAATCATGCTCCATATTCCTGAAAAAACAATGTGATGAAGAGTCAATAAAAAGAATTAAACATGTAGAAAACAAATCATCTTCTTGTGGTCTCATTTTATTTTAAATTATGCTATTTATATTAATGATATTTATTGATAGTTTTAATTTGAAATCCAACGTACAGTATTTATTGTGTGAATAGAGTCTTTGCTTTTACTTGTGTAACAAAATAACAAAACTATAAAATTGATCATTTGGTCACATGGCATGGAAGCATATCATTAATTTTTGCTTTTTTGTCTTAAATTTAATTGCAAGTTCGTGAATTTCTCGCGTTTTTTCGATACTGCGTATACTAGAAATTGTATTTAATAAACTTCTGAATTAAAATTATTGCATTTTCCTTAAAACGATGAAATCATTACAATTTTCAAACATTTTATGTAAACAACTCGGAGGATCTTTTTTCTTTATTAATATACAGAATTAATAATTAAATACCTTTTAAATACGCTATATACCTGATATAATATATTCACAATTCTAAAATTATATTAGTATTTTTGAGAAAACTTTAGAAAGGAAAAAGGTTGCTTAAGAAATAATACTCACAAACAGCCAGTAACTTGTAGAATTTTTGCAATTTGTTTAATTGCTCTGTCAAAACTGTGGCTTTTCAACACCCCTTGAAAATTAAAATCAAGTTTTAGCTATTTCTTAAATAGAAAGACAGAAATACCTTTAAGATTTTTTAATAATTATTCTTGTTGCTGGTTTTGTTTTTATTGATTTTTTTTCAAATCAATTATCTGTGTCATTGACACGATAAAGAAAAGGAAAAAATCGTTTCCCTGATTTTTTTTTAAAACTGAAACTTTTTTCCAAAAAGGTTTTATAAGTGTTAAAATTTTTTATTACAATATCAACAAATTGTTAAAAACTGAATAAAAGTTAAATAATATTTAACACCAGTGAATTTATATTATTGTTTGTAAATGAAATAAAAACAAAATTATTTACATTTAACACCCTTCCCCGCAGTCACGCATTTTAACGCATATACCAATATGAGCTGCATGTTTGACATCAGAAAAAAAATATTTCAAATTTGTAATTAACTATTTCAATGACAGGAAAATAGAACGTTTATAAACTTATGTTTTTCATATTTGCTATGGAAGACCTTTTTATAAACTTTGTTTGAGGCAAAATTGAATTATTGACGTCCTATATAATAATGATTTCTTATATAATACTGTATATTCTGTTGTACAGAGATATTTCTTCTGAAACATTTTTAAACTTTATTGTGGTCTTATTGATCATAAGAGTTTAGATTACTTTAGAGAAAGAAATCAATGTCTTATTTCAGCATTTTCCCTCAATATCCATGAGCCCAAATGCTTTAATTTTGTGCAGGAACCCATCTTTGAAATAGTTATTCAAAAGAATAAAAATATTTTCTCTCTCTTTTTATTAGCTAGCAAAAGTATTTTTTGTATTAAACAAATATATTTTATATTTTTTTTTATTATATACATGTACTTACCTTTGTTGTTTTCCTTGTTATGTTTTCCTTTTAGATATCTCATCCTTTGAAATTTGAATTCTTCATCTGCAAGTGTGATTTTACAGTTTCTTACTCTGTTGGGGTTTTCTTTCAAAATAATACTTTTGCATTAATCAAACATCAATATGGAGACGCCTTCTCTCATTTTAACCCACAAAAGAAAAGTGCTCCAAATGCAAATAAAAATGTCCGCGAGCAATGTAATGTGCAGATGAAAATTTCGCTGACAACAATGACTTGTTTTTATTTGTCGTCAAAAAGTAAAATGACGTGACAGGTTCCTTTCTAGTCTGGACCTTTAAAAATTCATTCAAGTTTTGCAAACGATTCTAAATAAAGGTGATAAATTCAGTCAACATAAAGCACCTTTCTATTTTAGTGTCAGATGGGCATGAAAGAAGAAATGGTAGTACAGTTTTTGTAGAAGTTTGATTTTATGCAACGATGAAGTTACTTTATATATTCATTGCATAGTTATTAATACACCTTCGTTACAAGAAAAGACCTAAGAAGAACATATGCGTACATGTACATTGTACTTTAGGACAGTGATACAAACAAACAAAAAATGGATGCCTGGATTGAAATGTAATTTTTACTTATTTTGATGTCAATTGTAGACTTTTTTTTTATGAAATTGAAAATTCCACATTCCTGCAACCATCCTTATCAATCTATACCTTTTTTAAAATCAATTTAAATCAATTTGTCTTTAAACTCTGAATTGAAAATTAAAACCAGCCCTGATAAAGATTCATATTCCTTTTACTTACATAAATACGATTAAGTTTCTTTTTTTAAAAAAAATATGATATTAGATAAAACTTATTTTTTATAATCTATTCTTAAAGAAAAAGTCAAATTTTCTAATTTATATGTAAGCAGGAAAAGAACAATTTATGTTATCTAGACAGGGTCATAAATATCCCGTTCAAACATACAAAAACTGAGATGCAAAAATCCACTTTTCTACGCAGTGGCGTACATAGATAGTAAATATGTTGATAAACAAAATATGACATTTCCCTTTATAAATATAGAATAACAAAGTATTTCGAACATTTATTGACAGCAAATATGTTCATTACAAAAAAAATACTGTGTCATATTTGTGAAGTAATTAAAAAAGCTATTAAGATAATGGATTACAAATTCAGCGAAAATATAGAGTTCGTAAACAACATTCGGATCAGCAAGTGCAAATTAAGTAAAACAATTTCGAACAAATGATTTAAAGCAGTTTTCTGTAACATTTTCGCTAAATAATTTTCATTCTAGGCATCCGACAATTCCAAATCAAATTAAATAGTAAATTCGCGTTTCGCATTTAATTTGACAACCAAACAAATCCAGCTTTGTCTCGTGTGGCGATAAACACTTTAAGCTAGAAATAAAAACAACTTTATTGAATAAGTTTGAAACGTTTAACTTATTATATAATATATAAGTAAAAAGTTTCAAACTTATGAAGCATAAGCATAGTCAAATGCACCAATTGCAAATATGGTTATTCATCTATCGCTTAATAATTACTTTCAACTTATAAAGAGAAAAGAAAATTTATTATTGTATAAAATTTGCAAATGCTATGTATGGTCTAAAGAACTACATAAATTTATTGATTTCAGATTTAAAAGCATCCTGGCTCTAACATTCTCATTGTACTTTGCTGATTACGAACGAGAAATGCTACATAACATCGTGGGATTTTTTTTACATTAGTGAAAGATTAGGAGAAAATGAACAGCACTCTAAATCAAAAATCCATTAAACAATACAAATTTGGAGTAGAGCATAGACCACAAAGACATCAGAGGTGGGATCAGGTGCCTTGGAGGAGTGCATATCCTCTGCTGACCGGTCACACCCGCCATGTGTTCCTTATCATCACCGGGTAATGACAAAAAAAAATCCGTTGACAATTCAGTGTGTAAATAGCGGTCTATAGTAACAATAAATGTAAAAACGTCAGTCAGCATTTTCACAAAATAACCATCATTTACGTCAAAAACGCAACCTATTTATAAGAAACCGAATCTTGAGGAAATGAATGTGCTTTATTGCACTTTTATTAGTGTCATGCACGTTTGATGGAAAAACGCCTATGCATGACCATTTCATAAGAATGCCAACGACATTGAAAAATTACTCCTTTAAGCAATCAAATGAACTTTGTGGATCTATAGTATGATACGAAGAGATGAATAAGATTAATTTAGTTCCTCTCAATCTAAATTTTTTTGACCAGTTTTTACGGGGAAATTTTATTTGGTTATCAAATGTAAATGTTTAATTTTGAGAGTTAGGCCCCTATGCAGCTATACAATTATTGCAAAATTGATAAAATATTTGAAGAAAATTACAAATGAGTAATAAATGTAAATAATGTCATAGGTTTGCAGAATAATAAAAGCGCCTAAGAACGCGACAGGCTTCATGAATCTCGAGGAAAACACTGAAGTGTTTTAAAGTTTTTTTTTTTTAAATGCACAGTTTAAATGCCAAAACTATTTATTTAAACGTAGTATAAAGATTTCTACTATGAAAATTCTATTTTCAAATCAGTTAGATAAAGAATTGGTTGCTAACTTTGAAATTATTACAGGATTTTTTAGAATATTTTCAAGAGTTCCAAGCATTGTTAATAACTTATCATAACGTCACAGGATCGATATTCTTTGAATGCTTCGTCCACGGAGCATGTATTTCGATTGGTTGAAATATTAATGAAAATTAATGAGAGAGAAGTTCTGGGGAGTAGTCCTCAGAAAGAAGTGCCTTCTCACGGAAATAGACAATTCTATGGTGTTTTATGGTGTTCATTTTATGTAGCGTAATATCAGTAAGGGTACATGTATCATAAAACAATTAATATTTCAAACAATTTAACATTTATATAAAGATCGAATATCCATACAGGTGAAAAATAATGAGAAATCGTGCCAGCTAGTAAACCTAATCTTTGAAAATTATACATGTATAGGTAACTTTGTTATCTTAAAATATGGAGATAACACGCAGCAACCAATCTCAAAAATTCCTTTTAGACATTGCGAATTTAAACCAGAGCAACCATGGACCTCCAAAAAACATAAGAGGAGGATCAGGTGCAATGGAGGAGCAAGCATCTCCATTGACAAGAAATACCCGCTGAATCACTCTTCTCATGGTCGAAAATACTGGAAAATCTTCAAAATACCCAGAGTGTTTAAATGTGGCTCAACAATCAGTATTTAAAATACGTCAGTCAGAATTCAACCGGAACAGAGACTGCATTTGCCTGCATGGCCACTGCAACCACAGATCCTGCGAAATGGATGATCTTAAACACTACAGTTGACAACTCCGTTCAATCAACCTGTCTGCCAACAGAAATTTTTGTACGCAGAACACGCTCCTGAACACATATCCATCTGGGATACATTGACATAGAAACCAAACATGCATGTGACAAAGGCACACAAGCAACAGAAGTCGACGATAAAAAAAAAAACTGGTCATGAATCCAATCACAAAACTCTTCTGACAGGTCATAGTCACCACCTTGGTTTTTCTGAGAAAAAATATAAATATGAATCAGATGCCCCAGACCACGTGGCATCCCTTACCCTAAGACTATTGGGAGTCAGAACACCCACTCTCAGAAAACAACTCTGCAGATGACCAATGACAAGGTAAGTAAGTAAACAAGTTACACTCTCACTGAAATAACACCTTCCAATGATGTCAAAGACCCTGGACCCCTATCAATTGCGGAGAATGGCTTGAAAACGCGAAAGAAAGTCGAACGTCTTGATGTCACTGATACTGATTTTGATGAACCAATTGATTCCAAAATGTTCCCATTTATTTAAATTCAAAGTATCCATGACCAAACTAGTATTACTACAGCCCTCGAACATGCACTCGGCTGCACATCGCTCGAATCCTCTACTAGTCACTGTCATCATCTGAGTGAGGAGCATGATGAAGCTTGATTAATTGTTTGATTGATATTACGTTGTTTTACATCCCATTCGAGAATTTTCACTCATATAGAGACGTCACCATATACCATAGTGACAAGTGAAAGTGGCAAAAAAGTCCCTCTAATAATTGTATCATTAGTTTTTCAAAACCATTGAGGTCCTCTTCGAGCTGATTAATGTGTCGGCCCCAAAACAATAAAATTTTATTGACACAGTGACCTATTAAATTTGACGCATGCAACATAGTTATTATATAACGGAAAGTAAAATCTACGAGGGTAAGAAAATCAAGAACACTAATTCCTCAAATCGAAACATTATTTAATAAAATCTATTATTTACATATCCAATACGCACAGGGCACTTAAATAAACTTTTATTAGGCTTGAATATTTAGCCTTACCTCGCATTAATATAGTCAATTACGAAATAACCTTATTAGCTTTTTGAAATCATAAATCAAACATCTTATTAACATTAGAAATAAAGATATCATGAGTTCTTTTTTAAAATTGTATGTACCATTTTTTGAACAAAAAATAATGAATACAAATAAGGGGTGTGAATGTGATGCGAATATAACGCTTATTTATGCATCGTGCTAAACGTGCAACACTGAAAAAATTAAATGCCGGAAAACTATAGCCATTTTTTTTTTTATAATTATTTTCAAAAAATGAATTTACTTGAAGAAAATGATATCTCGTAAAACAAAAGTATCATCATTTGATTTTTTTCATTTTTATACATTTTGCTATAAGTTGATACAAAATAATTTTAATTACATGTACGTGTTTTTCTGAATATAGTTTGAACGGAAAGATATTTAAGTTATTGAATAAGAATTTCTCACGAATTTTGTTTTTGATAATCTTTCTCATCATAAAATTTGTATCAATCATAAAAGGTATAGACAAAACAAAAGATTCAAAATTCGTAGATTTTGTACTAATGTCCTATAAATATGACAATAACGTATTGTAAGAGAACCCCATTTGCATGTTCAATTTTAAATAAGTTTTATTTAGAATCCTATGTAGAACAAATCATTGTGTCAAATTTAATTCATTTTCTAAGTAGTTTAAGTAAATAATCGTTTAAATATAGCAACAACATAATTTGGTAGTAATGTTTGTAAAAGTGAAATCTTGATAGGGAATAGGTATCTATAAAAATCTAATTCATCTTCCACCGAAAGTTCTTTATAACCGAAAAAGAATTCGTTGCAGAAAA